GATCCTCTTACAAATGCCATAAGAAGAAACACGACCAGCTGGGTTGATACGTAGATCAAGCTTACAAAATTTCTTTCGTAGCCATCTAGCCAACCCAACATGAAGGATGTTGGTAATTGTGGTGTAATACTGTATACAGTACTTTTTCACTACTGTATAGTATGTATGTAGGATGGTGTGTGCATGTAAATGAGTAAAAATAAATGAAGAAGGTTACGTATATCTCCCCCAAAATATGAGTTGAAAAAACCCATAACACCTCAAAGCTTGGCCTAGTAGTCTGTTAGTTACAATGATGAGCTACCATAGCTACAATGACATGATTAATCACTGTTAAGCACTATTCTGTCAGTAAACACTGTTAATAACAGTAAATTAAGTGAAATATGACAGCGAGTGAGGAGAGTTAAAACTGCAGACGACGCGCGAACTCGCGGTCACTCGCTCCCCTTACCTGCTCCCGTTGCCAGACTTAGCCAGGCGTACAGTTCGTATGGGAGATGCCAGGCGTCCATATGGGAGTGAAATATATTTTGTTGTCTTTTATGAAAATGGCGATGGGCTCTGTGATAAATAAATTATATAAACCATTCATTTTCCAATGATAACATAATAAAAAACATTGTATCATTACTAGAGTGAATGAATTAATATTCCCACAAACAAAAAATGACGACTGTTATAAAGAAATAGGTTAACACTCACCATTCCATGCTGGTTGTTTGTGTAGATTCCATTTTGCTCTCCCTTGCCACTGATGATTGATGATGATGAAGGTGGATGAGGGCATTTGGGAATCATAACAAGCATGAGGAGCACAGTTGTTATGAGAGGAGAGTAGCACGCTCGCGAGACATACAAATGTTTAGCCCTGACTGAGGTGGAGGGAGCGGGCACGCTTGGGCCAGCCTCCCGGGACAAGAGAGACACCTTGCGGGAAGCCACAAGACATGCGCACTCCCTGTACCAGCCGCGAAAATGATGGCAACTTTAAAACTACCCTCAGACATTCTTGGGTACATCCAGGGTATCATCCGCGAATAATAGAAGACCGCGAAATAAAAATCCGCGAATTATCCGGATGTACTGTACAGTACAGTGACCCCTCGGTTAACGAACTCAATCCGTTCCAGAAGGTCGTTCGTTAACCGAAAACGTTCGTTAACCGAAACCATTGTTTCAATGGGTTTTGGGTAATTGGTTCCAGCTCACCGAAAATTTCCTAAATTCAACAAAAATGGTAGAAAAGTTCACTTACTTTGAGGTGTGTATGTAGAAGGCTCCTGGATGATGATGATGATGATGGGAATTACAATGGGGGTGGAGGAGAAGGAAGAAGAGAAGGCATTGGGGTGGAAGAGAAGTCACCCCATGGCACCATTTCACCCATAAAATTTTAGTTCTCTTGGTGTATTTCAAGATTATTTTCTTTAAATCAACACTGTACTGCATTATATATTGTCAATATGTAAAATATATTTCAAAATGACCAATAATTTGCTTGGAAACACAGAAAAAAAGCGTTTAGTTGAAGAGAGTCTCAAGCAAGATATTACCTCCAGTGAAAACAGAGAGACTAACGCCTGTTTGCTGTGTTAAGAGGCTGGATGCTGCGCATTAAACTAGTCACTTTACCTTCAATTATGTTCAATAATTGTTAAAATGACTAAAAAATTTAATATTAAACTTTTAAAATTATTGAATAGTATAAACTTCTTGATATTTACTAAAATAGTTAGGAATTTAAGCCCTAGAACCGATTAATGTATTGGTGGACTGATACTAAAGCTGGTTGCCCGGCCAGTGCAAGCGAAAACATGTTGAGGTCGGTTCGTAAGAAATTCGTTAACCGAATTTTTGTTCGTTAACCGAATTGAAGATCCTTATGGAAGGCAGTTCGTTAACCGAAATTTCGTTAACCGAGGCGTTCGTTAAACGAGGGGTCACTGTACTGTATAATTTTATTATGGCACCTTTCCATTTTCAGTAATAAGTAACTGTTGGCAATGGATATTGTAGTGGTAATAGAAATCTTGAAGTTATTATATTGTACATTTTCTTAATTAAAGAAGTAACAAAGATATAAGTTGTGGCTGTGTGTGACATAATATTAACATCAACAGGGCACATTATATCATGTTTCCGGACCAAGAATGGGACACCAAGGCAGGGTAGTGTTAGTCATCTGAGTCGTGGTATATTGAAGGTGGACAAAAGCATATTCAACAATCCCCAACATGCTCTTGAGGGCCTGCAGGAGTACTCCCATGTATGGTAAGAGACTCACTTTTTGTGTTTATAATACAGGTACACCACCGATTTTCCGGAAACTGATGGTCCGGCACCTCCTTCAGTCCGGACAAAATTATGAGAGGACACTTAACTTCCCTCCCTCCCTTCCAGTCTGGGTGAAGGTAGTTTTAGGCTTAAAGTTTTTATCTTATAAAATGTAGCTGACTAGACTTATCAGAATACCAATTGCATTGCTGGAATCCTTGTAAGATAGTGATTAATTTGAGTATAAACATCACATAGTTTGCACAAGAGATAATTTTTTTAGTCTAGTGTAGTACATTTGAGTAAAAAGTGTGTACAGTAATGTTGCTCAAAATTATGGCTTTCCCACATTTAATTTACATTTAATATTTGTTTAATTTAAGTTTCTAGCAGTCCATGGTGCTTTAGAGACACAGGGGGTGTATAATTAGTGGGTCAGAGGTGTATTGTTGATTTATTATTACCTGACCTCGGTTGGTCTGGCAAAACAGATAATCTGGCAAGGCTTTGGAACCAAGTACACCTGTAGTACACACTTCTTGGTGAGTGTAGAGCAGTGATTCCCCAACTTTTCAACTTCACAGACCAGTAGAGAATGGAAAAACAAGATTTGTGGACCAGTACGGTGAAACCTTGATGTAGTGGATTTCGAAAATAATGGACCAAATTTTGTCTGAGCACATTTTCTGTTAGCTCTGACTCAGAATAAAAGTGCAGTATTCAGAGTCGTGGCGCCACTATCGATCACACCCAAATAATCTCCTCTATCAACCACATTTATTTATTTATTTATCATTTGAGTGTTTCATATACAGTCAACCCTCGCTTTACGCGGTCCCACTTTACGCTTTTCCATGTTTACGCAGTACCCTGCCGAACACGGAATGCTCACTTTCCGCGGTGTGTGTACCCTTTTACGCGGAGAGCGGCGCGAGCAGGGTGCGCACAAGGTCGCCCAATCATCAAAACATTACCGAGTTCTTCACCCGCCACCCACCACAGCCGGCCCAAGTCAGTGATAGTGATAATGATAATGAGGATATGGACTTATATGGACTTTGAGGGGTTTGACAAAGAGGCTCTGCAAGGCTCTGTGGTGGATAGTGATACAATTGATACAAGTGATACAGGTGAGGGCCAATAATCTGCCCTCTGCCTCGGAACCAACCCCCCATCCCCGTGTGCCCAGCCATCTTTTCTACTAATGTAAGTGTTAAAAAACCTAATATTATTGATATTTCTGTTAATTGTTAATTGTGTGTGCATACCATCATAAAATTAAGAAGTTATTTTTACTACAACGTAGGTATTGTGTCTGAAAAAGTGGAGTTTGGGGGTCGGCCCGGTCTGTATTTCAATTAATCCCATATGTTATGTTGTTCACTTTACGCGTTTCTCACTTTACGCGGGCCGCCGTGGGTTCAATTGACCGCGTAAAGTGAGGGTTCACTGTAAGTTTATAAACATCAAGACAGACCGCGCGACACTGATGGTGGTGGAGTGGTGGCATTGGTGCCTGGCTGGCTGGCAGAAGAGAGGCAATTGTGGGAGGGAGGGCATCAGGAGGCTGAGGCAAGGTTACCAACTTCGATTTTTATAGCCAGTACCAAATCCATCTTTATCATTACCAAACTAAGTGTTTCATGACCATTTATTCTTCCAATTCATAGAAATAAACATAATAAAGGATAAAATTAATGTTTGTTTAACTTATGTAATATGACTGGCATGTAATGAATCTGTTGACACAGAATCACTGGCAGTTTTGTCGTACAGGGTGACCATGGCATCTACTTCAGTATTCTCTCCTCCTCCTTCCTCTCTGATGTACAATCATACAGTTCAGAAGAGAATTTATCAAACACTTTGTCTGTGATATCAAGGTCCTTAAAGCACATCATCTTTACTAAACCATATTTTTTCATTACCAAACAGTTTTTTCATTACCAAATTTCCTTGAATTTGGTAATGGAAAATACCAAGTGGAAACCCTCCTCCTCCATTTACTACTGCTGGGAAAACATTCTTTACTTAGGAGCAGGAACTTGCTTACCAAGTGTGTTGATCCAGAGATTCAAATGCTGCAGCGGTGCTGAGCCACGTACAGTATTTTGAATATTTTACCACTAGTTATGTGTTGTCAAATACAGTATATTACAGTACTTAAATTTAACAGACCCTCATCCTCGCCAGACACTCCTTCCCCTTATTAGTCTGTTAAATCAAGGTTTTACTGTAATCAGGGCTGGCTCAAGGCATAGGCGGACTAGGCAGGCGATGACTGAATTACTTAAAAGGCTATAACCACAGTCCTTCGCATCTTTTTTTGTTTTGACAGGCGTAGAATATTTCAGTCCGGTGAGATGGAAGATGAAGCCACAGTCAGCGGTCAAACGAGTACCCAGGACAGGAAGACAGGATTACTACAGGTTTGATTGCGATGGGTCTCTCGTCTCCCTTCAGTCGTGTCGAGGTTACTGTGGAGGGGTTACTTACTCAGTCACACTGACATCCAAACGAAAGTATTTATCAGGTGCCAAGAAAAGAAAATGTGGGAAAGAGGAAAATGAAAAAAATAAACATCAGAACCAATGGGAACTTCCTGAAAGAAGTTGAGCTTATTGCTAAATTTGACCTTATTTTGAAACAACGCATTGAACGAATTGAGAGTGGAGTAGGAAGACATGTCACTTGGTAAAATAATTAAAAATGAGCTCATCAAGTTAATCAGTGGCAAAATCCTGGAGAAAATCTTAACAAATGTAAAAATGTATAACTACTACAGGTTGTACCTCTCTAGTCCGGCAACCTCGGGACCTGACCGGTGCCGGACCATGGAAATTCACCCTTTTCCTGGATAGATAGTGACTTGTGCCTATGCTTGGAAGCACTAGCACCACTTTCTCTGCATCATGGTCTCTTTGAAGACATATTGAAGGGTTAAATGTCATATAGTAGTTTCTCAAATTTCGCGAGTTTTTAATTCTTAACGTATTTTATTGGAACACAAAAAAATAAATAAAAAAAAATTTTGCCCGCGGAAACTTGAATTTCGACGGGTTTGAACGGCCCGCCAACGTGCAGACGACATGCATAATCGTGTAAACAGCGTCATTTCTCTTATGTACAAAAGATTCATTATTGTTTATTACTGAATGTCTTTTTTATTTAATTAATGTTTATGTGTGCAAAATGAGCAATACAATTCATTAATAATACGTAGAATATTAAAACACACGAGGAAATGACAGCATTGTTTTCGTTGATTACAAAGCCATTGACTGACTGGTTCTACATATAAAGCTGAAGAAAATAAGACCTTGGTTGTAGCTGTAGTAAAATTAATATGGTTGTTTTAAGTAATGTTATTTAATGTTAATAAATGGAACAATAGAAGTAGCTAATGATAATGGTAATGAAAAAAGAGAGATCGCGTATGTATGTGCGCATGCGCACACGTGAAAACATATCGTCATTAATTTACATAAGAATATGAAAGTAACACTTATTTACTGTTCATATATATTTTAATTAATGTATCTGAATTTGTTTTTATTGAATTAATGTGTGTGTGTGTGTGCAAAATTAACAATACAATTTATTAATAATACGTGGAATATTAGAGGAGACGAGACGGCTGCCGGCATTGTTTATGTTAAAGCTTACGAAACCAGTGACCGATTGGTTCTACTTTTTAAAACTGAAGAAAATAAGACCCTGATATTAGCTGTAGTAAAATTAATGTAAAAAAATTAATATGGTTGTTTGAAGTACCTGTAATGTTATTTAATGTTAATAAATGGAACAATATAAGTAGCTAACCATTAATGGTAAAAAAAAAGAGACTGTGCGTACGTAAGTGCGCACATGTGAAAACATATCGTCATTACTCTACATAAGAATATGAAAGCAACACTTATTTACTGCTCATATATATTGAAGGGTTAAATGTTGTATACTCTGTATAGACAAGCAGAGAGAGAGAGCAGCCGAACTGCCGGATGTAAACAAACCTTAATTTCTCGCGGCTTTGTTTTTTTTTGTTTTTAAGGGGATTAGCCCACCCGGGCATAGGTCACTGACCCACATTGGGGCCTGAGGGGCAAAAATTTAATACTCCTGTAATAATAATTCAGATAAAAAAAAAAGAAAAAAAGAAAGAAAAAAAGCTGCCTATCTACCTATTGGACAAACTTAAAATCGTTCCGGACCACGGGAGTTTCCGGACCACAGAATGCCGGACTAGAGAGGTACAACCTGTATTCAATTATTCTGGATTGCACAACTGATATCAGCCATCAAGAACAAATGTCAGTCATCGTGCTAAAGTAATTAAATTACAAGGGGGTAGCTTGGCAATTTTTGTGTTCCAAATGCAAAATTTTTACCTCGATATGAGGTGCTTTCCCCCCTAGTGGGAACTGCCATGTAGTGGTGGGGAGGCTTGAGGTCCTCTGATGAGCCACACGACAGGGGGCTGTTCCCCCCATTCCTCCTTAAGGAGGAAAGTGCTTCCCATACTGGAAGGGTCATCAGGGAGGGATGAGACTAAATTCTTGATCTGCTAGCCTTGAGAGCTGGTTAACGGCAGCTATCCTCTGGCCCAGTCCGCAAGGGCTAGAGAGTAGCTCTCCCATGTGTTTGCTGTACAGTCAGTTCTGCTATAACGCAATAGTTGTGTTCTTGTAAAACATCGTGTTATAGAAATTCGCGTAATAGAAATAACAGGGCTTATGGAGAAAATAGGGTTAGGTGCAGATTACTCGAAATCGAAAAAAATTTCGTAGTTAGCCTAACACAAAGGATAGCACAGTCTAAATAAATGTTACATTCATATCTAATAATGAAATCATACAGTAAATGTTACACTTTACCTTGAAAAAATATGAATATAACTTGATGGGTTGATGTTGAGGAGTCTTGCAGACAGGATTTGACACTTGTCAGCATCATCATCAGTATCATCATCAGGTGCAGTTTTGGTTGCATGGGAGGGAAGAAAAAAATGTCTAATTCCAGAAGTGGATGGCTGTGGTTCAGTGTCTTCAGTCTGCTTCTTGGGGGTTGACTTTAAAAAGACGTCTAATGTTTGCTGCTTTGCCTCTTTCTTCTTTCACAAAGAAGCTGTTCATAAGGTGCCAAAAAAGATTTAACACCACGAACTGCAATCCTGCTCCTTTCTGCATTGTAGTCATTGTCTTCCAAGATCTGCAACTGCTTATCAACTTCCCTCAGGATAGAAGACAAAACAGAAGTGGGAAGCTCTCGTGGTTTTGCATCCTGGACTTCTTCATCTTCGGCATCTTCTATTTCCCCAGCAGCAACAAGTTGTTGTAGATCTTCTGTAGAGAGGTCTTCACAGTGGGACTCAAGCAGTTCCTCAACATCAGCGCTTTCCACTCAGCAAAGCTAACTTGCTTTGCAAGAGAAACACAATTTTCTTTAATTTTTGGGAGCTCCTCTGATGCATCAAAGCCTGTAAAATCATGAATTAAATCTGGGAGACGCTTCTGCCAAACTCCACTCAAGCAGTCCTTACTTACTTCACCCCAGGCCTCCACAATGATGTCAATTGCATGCTTGATGTTGAAATTTTTCCAAAACTGAAGAACACTGGCCTCATCATTTCCTTCCTCAGTAGCTGCAATAAGTTTCTTAAATGTACGCCTCAAATAATAGGCTTTGAAGGCTGCTATTACTCCTTGGTCCATTGGTTGAAGGAGAGATGTTGTATTTGGAGGTAGAAAGAGCATTTTGATATTGTCAGAAAGCTCAGCAATGGTGGTAGGGTGGCTTGGTGCATTATCTAAAATGAGGAGAATCTTAAAATTTATATTCTTCTTGCAATATTTTTTAAAAGCATTTTCAAAAACATCCACAAGAAGGTTAGAAAAAATTTGTCCCGTCATCCAACCTTTCTTGCTTGACCTAAAGTGAACACCTAGAGTAGATTTTATGTAACCCTTTAAAGCTTGCGGGTTGAAAGAGTGATACATCAACACAGGCTTAAGCTTTAAGTCTCCACTAGCATTTGCACCCAACAACACTGTCACACGGTCCTTCGCAGCCTTAATGCCTGGAGCATGTGCTTCATTCTTGGAAATGTAAGTTCTTGTTGGCATGCGCTTCCAGTATAAACCTGTTTCATCCATATAAAAATTTGGTCTAAGGTGTAGCCTTCTTCCTGAATCAATTTCTTTACAGTGGGAGGAAATGCCCGGGCACTTGCTTCGTCGGCACTTGCTGCTTCACCACATAACTTTACATTATGAAACGCATAGCGGTTCTGAAAACCAGAAAACCATCCACTACTAGCACTAAAGGCAACCACATCATCAGGATTTTCAGCTTTTTTCTTTAGGTCCTCATATATTGACAAGGCTTTCTCTTTAATGGTGAGGAAGCTGGTCCCAGATCGCTTTTTCGTTAGATCTTCTATCCAAACACTTAGAAGCCATTCCATCTCCTCAAGTTCCTTTAGCTGTGATCTCACACTTTTGCTAGCACTCAAGGTTTTTCCAGCAATACAGCTTGCTTTAACCTTTGCTGCATTGTCTCTAATGGTGCGTAAAGTAGACTCCTTTATTCCCGTTGCACGCACAATATCACATGTTCTTTCCTTATTTTCAACACGCTTGACAACATCAAGCTTTTCTTCAAGTGTTATAGCCTTTCTTTTACGATCACCACCGGAAATGCGATCGCCAGAACGCTTCCCGGAGATATTCTTCTTTTCCATAGTCACAAAATTGGAGAAACAGTAAATCTGAAATCACTGAGGACGCTTAAAAACTTCTCACGTGTTTCAGAGTGAACATGTGGTCTAAACAGAGCGCGCTGGTCTAAAACGCTACGTATTTTGTTTTTCTCTCTTAATTAAAATTTTACATTTTACATATACTGTACAGGTATACTATATACATAAATATTACATAAATTATTTCTGCAATTCTTCTCAAACAAAACACATGAATCAATTGAACATGTGATGTCGAACGTGAACTGTAAACATTGCATAACCCTGCGCCAAGCCATAACACTGTACAGTACACTTTAAACGCTACGTATTTAGTTTTTCTTTTTCATTTAAATTTTTACAATTTACATACAGTATATATATGTAAATTGTAATTTACGTATTATTCATATTATGCTACAGCGCCCACAAAACATGAGAAACGTTTGAGTGAGTCCCCCAGTAAAGATGTCCGTTCTCTACCCACTTCAGGATGTCTTAGTCCTCAGTTTTCTTTTTGTGTACTCACTCAGGGACTCAAGTATTACTGTATATAACACAGGATGAAAAGGGAATTTGAAATTATGAGCGAATGAATTTATTATACAGTGATCAATTAACATAGTTTTGATGTGTTTAAGTAGTATTCAGGAGCCTTCAGCCTAATAATGTTACAACATTCGTATCACTCACTCTAAACCACGAATTCCATCCATACAGAGAGAGAGAGGCCAAGCAGTCTGTTTACATCACACACACATAAATATTACATATATTATTTCTGCAATTCTTCACAAACAAAACACATAAATCAATTGAACATGTGATGTTGAACGTGAACTGTAAACACTGTGTGTGATGGAAACAGAGTGTGGGTGTAAAATGCTACGTAATTTGTTTTTCTCTTTTAGTATTTAAAATTTTACAATTTACATATACTGTACAGGTATACTGTATACATAAATATTACATAAATTATTTCTGCAATTCTTCACAAACAAAACACATAACTCAATTGAACATGTGATGTCGAACGTGAACTGTAAACACTGCATAACCCCGCGCCAAGCCACAACAACCGTTCGAGTGGAATCGCATTAGAGCAAACGCGTTCGCGTTTTACAAATATTGTTCCTCTACTCATCAATCGCGTTAGAGCCAATTCGCGTTGTCCAAACACGCGTTATAGCAGAACTGACTGTACGTGGCGACCTATGAGGCTGGGAGATGGGAATCCTGAAGGCTGAGCGATGCTGCCAACTGCGCCCTGTGGCTAGCAATACAGTGATATCTCTGTTTGCCGGAACAATTGGCGCAGAGCACTTCCGGGGATGAGAGATTTCCGGGTAACCAGACAACTTTCTCAAACCTGGAAAAATTCCTTATTCCCGGAGTCTTTTCCGGTTACTGGGAAAAGTTTCCGAGAGTCTAAATTCGACATCTTGCACAGACGGACACTAGCCCGCTTATCCAGAACATTTCTGGGTGTTGGGGATGTTTTCCTTGAGTCTAAACTACCGGAGTCCATAAATGCAGTTCCAATTAAGTTAGAAACTCCATTTATTTACTATAATAATTCAGAATAGTTTATCTAAAAGTTTGGTTAAATAAATATATTTAAAAATAATAAATCTATAGGATATGTGCATACTTATTTTTCACCCCCATGGAGCTGTGGGGGATTGGTGGGTCTCATAGAGCTTTCTGTGCTAAAAATAAAAATAGGATTAGAGTGTGTTTGCCAGATGCTGGGGTGGGGGATATACAGTCTCTCCTCGACTTACGACTGGGTTCCGTCCCGACGACCAGGTAGCAAGTCGAAAAGGCAAAAATATTACATAGAAATTCTAAAGTGGCCGGGGCACAGACGGTGGAGAGGAGCTGGTGGCCGTGGCGGCTGCGGTAGTGGTTTGGGGTAGGTGTCCAGAGATTAACAGACGATATTGTGAAGGTCTGGAAAAACAGCCCACGAGTCCAGGACCTATGATGAGATCACAGCCAGAATTTGACGAACAGCGGGGTAGCTAGATAGTGACTATGGCAGCTGGGGTGAATCTGCCGGTGACACAGGTAGCCGCTGCCGTTCTCACCTCTGTCCAACCCCCCCCCACCCCCCCAAGTGTTGGTCGCACCAGTAAACGAGAGAGTTAGCAGTAGTAACGAGCAGGAAGATTGTTTCCGCCCTTACACAGCTCCCCCAACAAAAATCTACTGTAAGGTAGATTAAAACTTAAGATTGGTACACAAAGCATAATCATCTTACAACAAATGCTTAAATACACATATCAAAATAAGGAAGGGTCACATAAACGAATAGGTGGAAACTTGATGTCCAAAACGTAAGGCCGTATCAAGGAACTGCACGTGGGATCCACTTCAGTCCAGGTTTAAGTTTGGGCCTATTACCAGTCGTAGAGGATTCTTCTATCTCGTCAGGTGTTAGCAGCAACTGGCAACCGAGATCATCAGAGTCTGGTGCCCGAACTTCACAGGAACTCTTGCAGGGTAGTGCCTCGACTAACTCTAGCTTGGGAACGTCGTCAAGGGCACGTGCAATGTGGGTCCTGCAATTATATTTCCTTAACAAATTAGCTTGGTGTAATTTAGGCTTCTCAGAGGAAGGGGGTGAGAACGGTCCAACAAAATCTATGGCTACCCGAGAAGATGGTTCTGTAATGACGGGTAAGGGTTCAAGTGGAACAGGATGGACTCTACCCTTGGCAGACATACGTGGGCACTGATCACAACTCATACAAAAAGCTCTAATATCCACTCCCATACCTGGCCAGTAAAACTGATAAGCAACCTTCCTATAAGTTTTCCTACGAGAACAGTGACTTGCTAGAGGGCTCTAGTGAGCTACAGAGAGAATGTTACTACGACAAACAGCAGGGACAACAAGTAAAAACCTACCTACTTTGGCTAGTCACTTGGATGACACACAAGACCTGTGTAACACCCCATTAATAGAAACAACCTTGAAAACCGACCCATCTCTCACCTGATCCTCCTCCCCGGAAGTCACCTTCTCCCTTACCCGCTTCAGAGTGGCACACGAGTCTTGAAGCTTTGCGAATGCCTTGGGCGTCACAGTCAGTGGCAACAAATTCGGCAGAATGAGAGGATGCGGTCGTTTCACCTTCACCATCCGTGTCTCTACAGCTTGGACCTTGGCTGCAGGCGTGGTGGCGTGTGAGGGTGGCGAGGCGACATCGGCAGGTGGCGCATTGTCGTCGTCAGCAGGTGGTGTGGGGACTGGTGCTGGTGGCGAGGAGACTGGTGCTGGTGGCGAGGAGAGTTTTAAAGGTTCCGGGTCGTTAGGGTCACGAACACCGGGAACATTACCAATGGGGACACTAGTAAATTTAATGGGAGCTCTTACCACATTAGACCAACCAGTGAAATAGGGGCAACGCAGGTAGCACCTAACAACAGGGAACTGGTGAACACGACCCAAATAATCGGCGACACTAACCTTCGGGCAGCTGGAGATGTCAGTGTCAGGCAGGTCTTCCTCAGAGACAATAATGCACGAGCAACCAGTGTCCCTGATGAAAGTAGATGCCCTAAACCCATTTATTGTTCCACTAACACAATAACGGGGGCAGCTCCTGTCTTCCAAACAGAATCCGACCTTGTTGCTGGGCTGATGAGTGTCAGCAGTCTTGAAGGCGAGGGGATTCCTGGGACAGCGAGAACGAATGTGCCCTTCTTCTCCGCAGCTGTGACACCGCACAGCTGGTGAACTACTCCTGTGTACTCCTGGGGATGGTTCCTCGGAGGACGGAGGTTCGCAATCTTTACTACAGGAGGGGAAGACTTAGGGTAGGCGTTGCGAGCAGACGCCCAGTTGTCGGCAAGATGCACAGCTTCTCCAAGCGTCGCTGGCTGGTGTTCTTTGATGAAAATTCTCAAGTCTGGAAGTAGAGAAGACAAAAACTGATCTAATATCATGAAGTTAGAGAGAGACTCAAAGGTTTCTTCAACCCCTGATGTCTCCAGCCATTGTTGAAACAAACGACCCAGGTGAATCGAAAACTGCTGGTACGTTTCTCCTGCTCTAATCTTCGTTCTGCGGAAATCAACACGATAACTGTCAGAAGTCTTGTTAAATCATCGCAAGAGAGCTTGCTTCAACAAGAAGTAATCTCTGGTGATGTCGGCAGACAGGGACGTGTAAATCTCTACCGGCTTACCACTCAGTAAGTTACCCAACCTTACAGCATAGCTATCTGGGTCTACACCAAGCAGCTCGGCTACCCGTTCAAACCTAACAAGGTAGGAGGCGATGTCTTCTCCTTCACGGTTCACAGGCAAGCTGGGTTTTACCACATTGTCTTGTATATGGCCAGAGGATTCTGGTCTACTTGAAGCATTAATCCTAGCTAGTTCTAGGTCCTTTTCTATCTGCAACTTAGCTAATTCGAACTCTCTTTCTCTATCTCTCTGACGTTCCTCCAACTCTCTTTCTCTCTGACGTTCCTCCAACTCTCATTCTCTCTGACGTTCCTCCAGCTCTCTTTCTCTGACGTTCCTCCAACTCTCTTTTTCTGAAGCTCCTCTCTCACTTTCTGACGTTCCTCTCTCTCGGCATTCTGTTGGTTGACCACATACTGGCCAACCTCAGTACCTGTCAGACCCAGGGCCCCCGCTTGACTTTTCAACTCCGCAAATTTATACAAAATGATACGAAAGGCCAAGAGCAAAAGAAAAAAATACACAACTTACCCCGCAAATAGCCAAAGGTAACCTACCTAGTGGCTCAATCAGACCAATAAATGATTTGATCAGACTGGAGGGAACCTCGTTCCTCACCCAGCCCAGCTGAATCACACTCAGGGTAAAGAAACTGCACCAGGTGAAACAACAACAAAAATGCTATGACAGCATCCACATTGCACCCCAACCAACACTAATTAACTTCCCCAAGTACAAGGGAGAGCAACAAAATTAGCACAACAGAAGGAAGGGATAACCCCTGAACAACACTTACTTCCGGGCCACAGACAGTAAGTGGCGCGCTCACGGCGACTTACAACAAAACCGGAACAAATATTAGCCCTCAGAAACCAAAGGTCAGAGACAAATCCTGGCAAGGTCACCACTTGTAAAGGCATGGGACTTAGGGATATAAATCCCTTACCAGACTTATCAGGATCTTAATAAAGGAATGTCTAGGACCATGGTTTTCTGAGGAATAACAAACAACCGTTTGAGATTGACATCTCTTTACTATAAAAAATATAACAAAACTCTGACACCACATAAAGAACATCAAGTAACAATTACGGGAGTCAAACAATTAAGGCAGTCCACAGTTAATGCAGTCAAACAAATAATGGAAGCAAACAATTAAAGGGAGCAAACAATTAATGGGAGTCAGCAATTAATAGAATCAAACAATTAATGGGAGTCAAACAATTAATGGGAGTCAACAACTGATAGAATCAAACAATAAAAGTGGGTCAGCAATTAAAGGAATCAAACAACAAAAGAATCAAACAATGAACAGATATTTCCTACGGCAGTGGCCCTGGGGACGGTCCAGACAGGCTTCCTCACTCGAACGTCAGCGGCCGATGTCTTGATACAGGAGACGAAACACCGGGGCAGAGACGGTGGAGAGGAGCTGGCGGCTGTGGTAGTGGTTTGGGGCAGGTGTCCAGAGATTAACAGATGAATTGTAAAGGTCTGGGAAAACAGCCCACGAGTCCAGGACCTATGATGAGATTCACCCCAGCCGCCATACAGTCACTATCTAGCTACCCCGCTGTTCGTCAAATTCTGGCTGTGATTCATACTCAATTTTTGCCCCCTTAGGGTCTTCTGATCACAACCTTATTTCTATTAAATCAAACTGGGCACGACCACCTCCCCCACCCCCCTCTAAACATCAACTATGGCACTATCGGAGGGCAAGCTGGCAATCCTTGCGAGAATTCTTCACCAACTTTCCTTGGGATGACTGTTGCTTTTCCACTCGGGATGCCTCGGTATGTGCTGACAGCATTGCTGGGGTTATACAGGGTGGTATGAGTGCATTTATCCCATCTTCTACCAAAACTTTCACATTACAATCATGGTTTGATCGCTCCTGCTCTCTTGCTTGCAGGGTGAGAGATAGGGCATATCTAGCTATGAAACTATCTCCTCCTATTACCCACACCTCTTTCATTACTTCTAGGAATCGTTGTAAGGCTATTCTTCGTAGGGCCAAGTGGAATTTTATTAAAAGAAAGACCGCTGTCCTGACTAATTCTTCTTCTAGTAAATCTTTCTGGTCCATAATTAAAAACATCTGTAACAACTTCTGCACGTCTTCTTTTCCTCCCTTCTTCCGTTCCAATAACTCTATAGCCAACTCTCCCCCTGACAAAGCCAACCTCTTTGGCACCTTATTCTCCTCTAATTCCACCTTAGACGATTCCCACTCTATCTCTC